CTTGCGCTCCATTACCTGCTGGAACTCTCACGGCCGACCTTCCTCTCATGATGTTCTGTCTCTTCTCCATTGAACCTTGTCAAGTGGACCGAGAGTGGATGTGGAGAAGATGTTTCCACTAGTAGGAGAGACTAGGACCCATGGTACAGCCTCAGACTGAAGAAATGACTCTTTAGAACTGAGATGCGGAGGTATTTCTTCAGCCAGAGGGTGGTGAATCTGTGAAACTCATCGCCACAGAAGGCTGTGGACACTGAATAATTGACTGTGTTTAAGACAGAGATAGGTAGGTTCTTGATGAGCAAGGGGATTGACGGTTATGGGGAGAAGGCATTAGAATGGGGTTCAGAAGCATATCAGCCATGATCGAATGGCAGAGTAGACCTAATGGGCAGAATGGCCTAATTCTGCTCCTATATCTTATGGTCTTTACAGGACACATATCAAGAGTTTGCAAAAAAACTAGTAGCATTCTGAAGCATCTCAGTAATGATGACATGTTGTAGTTTGTCCCAAAGACAGGGGCTCATCATTAACAGCAGCATTTCTCTCTGCCCAAGAGTTCTTAATCACATCTCTATACGATGACATCACAAAGTGGAAGAAGAGGAGTCAGGCTTAAGAAGAGAACAAACTTGGGGTTGAACCCATGTTGTTGCCATTATTCCAAATCATGCTTATACCTTATAACTGAACTAACAGTTCATCTTTAGAACAGCATGAGCATCCAAAAACAAACAGCGATGGACAATTAGTTTCTGCTGCAAGGCATTCGTCTGTTGTGGGAGGTAATCTTCTACACAAAATGAACTGCATGTATTCAAACCATACTGCCGAACAGGACCGTGTTTATGCTCCATAAAAGCCTCAACCTGTTATTTAATTTAAACCTGTAACCATATGTCCCAATGTCTCCCAAGAGGGTTATCTGAAATTACAAAGGGATCTTGATCAATTGGCCAATTGGCTGAGGAGTGGGAGATGGAGTTTAATTTGAATAAATGTGAGGTAAAGAAAACAAAGGCAGGACTTATACAGTTAATGGTAGGGCCCTGGGTACTGTTGTCAAACAGAGAACCCAGGGGTTCAGGTACATAATTCTTCGAAAGTTGCATCACAGGTAGACAGGGTGGTTAAGGCAGAGTTTAGCAACTTGCCTTTATTGCTCAGACCATTGAGTGTAGGAGGTGGGATGTCATGTTGAAGTTGTACAGGACATTGTAGCAGTACTCTTCTGGAGTACTGTGTCCAGTTCTGGTTGCCCTGCCTTCAGAAGGATATACTATATTGGACAGGGTTCAGAAAAGATTTACCAGGATGTTGCCAGGACTGGAGGATTTCCAGTCAGAAGGAGGGGCTGGATAGGCTGGGACTTTTTTCACTGGAGTGTAGGAAGTTGAGGGGTGACCTTATAGAGGTTAATAAAATCATGACGGGGAATAGATAAGGTGAATAGCAAAGGTCCTTTCCCTCGGGTGAAGGAGTTCAAATCTAGGGGGCTTATGTTTAAGTTGAGAAGAGAAAGATTTAAAAGGGACCTGAGGGACAACTTTTTCACACAGAGTATGGTTTGTACATGGAATAAATTGCCAGAGGAAGTGGTAGATGCAAATAGAGTTACAACATTTAAAAGACATTTAGACAGATACATGAATAGGAAAGGTTTAGAGGGATGTGGGTCAAATGCAGGCAAGTGGGACTATTTTAGTTTGGGAAACTAGGTTGGACCAAAGGGTCTGATGCTCTACTGTATGACTCTATGTATTTCACTAGTTTCTCTTTATATGGACTTATGATGCTTGACTCAACTACTCCTTGTGATAGGAAGTTCCACATTCTAACCAATCCCAGTAAAGAATGTTCTCCTATATTCCTTACTAAATTTATTGGTACCTATCTTTTAGATATAGTCCCTAATTTTGGGCTCAGTACAAGTGGAAAAATCCTTTCAAATGTCTACCCTATCAAACCTCTTATTAATTTTAAAGACCTCTATCAGGTCACTCTTCATTTTTCTCTTGTCTGAAGAGCTCTACCGTATTCCGTCTTTGGAGATATGGATTACCTGTTAGCTCTGCTGTCATCCTAACAAGTATTTTGCACCCTCTCCATTGTCTGTTTTTCCTTTATGTAATTTGGAGACCAGAATAGATCACAGGACTCCAAGCATCTCTTTTAAAAAAAAAAGGGAAATATTTCAGGCAAAAAAAAATCAACATTTTCCTCTTCTTTACCGATGTTGTCAGACTTACAGAATTAGAAGCAAATCACTAAGTGATTAGCATAATTCACCATTTGAAACTGCATACTGAGTGCCAGTGCTTATAACATGGGAGTTATATGGCTGAATTTTACCACTGCGCCAGTTTTAGAGAGCTTGAGTGAATTTTCTCATGCTATTTTCCACAGCTCACCTCATTAGCTATGCATCATGTCCCACAGTGCCTGGTTTGTACTATCATGCACTCGGCAATGGCAGTAATACCCACCACTGCTGATATCTTCCAGGATTCCTGATGTTGGTGCCAGTTTTAAAGCCTTGCTGTGCATCAGTTCAAATGCTGTCAGCCAGGAACTGTCCTTTACAGCACACGTAGTGGGAGGGGAATGAAAATGAAACGCTTTTGAGGACAAATAAGTAGTATAACTGATACTTTATTACAAATACAAGCTCGCTTTTGTAAATGTATTGCTATTTATCACCTGATATATTTCACCTGTCTGACCAAAAGCCATTGTAATTGCAGCTACATGAACAAAACTACACAGGTTATACATTCATAGTGTCAACCCATGACTCTATTTCTGATGCCCAGCATCACATATCTTCTCATTGTTCAACATGGGAGAGTCAGATTCTGGAAACCCTTCAAATGGTTGAACCCATTCACTTTTATTCAGCTCAAAAGCAAATTAAAAAAACGAAAAACTGCATTTGCTTCTGGGAACAAACAGAAACCACTTGTCTTTTGATCAACAGGAAATTTAGTCACTGCACTGAGCTAACATCTATTGCAACTATGAATCAGTTAAGTCCTATCGGATTTATTATGCCTGATGCTGCTCTATCGTGTAGTGGGTGATATTTTGCCTGTTCAATGCCATCACCTTACTCCTCAGAAGACTGTGCTGCTTTCCAAGTTCCTCAGTATCCATAACATGTCCTCTTCAGCATAAACTTCAAATGAGCAAAGAGAGGGGATTAACAACTACTTGAATGTAGGCCCAGGATTGAGGAAGCAACACTTCAGCTTCAACACAGCAGAGAGACTGGAGTCAGCAAAAGGATAAATTGACACCCAGGATTTTTTCCTAATTTCAAAGATCTGACTTCTGTCAATCTCACCATAAATCTGCTAACAAATCTTTGATTCCAATCTTTCTACCACAGATCTCTCATACCATTGCAATCAACCTCCTCCAACTAAATATTTTTACTCTAGATTTTGGTACAATCACTGTTGTCTAAATATTGCCCTATTTACACTTGATTGATTTAGTCTACTTTTTGCATTAAAACTACCAGATCAGCAATCCATTGTTCTCCAGTAACAGAAACACATCAATCAATAAACTTCTCCTCAATGCACCCCAAAACTTCATGCCTCTCTCCACTGATACTATCCAGTCTATATTAGAATGATCACAATTATGCTTGCCTTCATCGGTCAAAGTATTGAGTATAAAAGTTGGCAAGTCACATTGCAGCTGTATAAACTTTAGTTAGGTTACATTTGGAGTATTGAGTGTAGTTCTGGTCACCCCACAATAGGAAGGATGTGGAGGCTTTGGAGAGGGTGCAAGATGTAATCAGGATGTTGCATGGATTTGAGTGTGTTACCTATTAGGAGAGGTTGGACAAACTTGGGTTGTTTTTGAGAGCGTCGGAAGCTGAGGGGTGACCTGATAGAAGTTTATAAAATTATGAGACGCCTGAAGAGGGTGGATGGTCTTTTCCCCAGCATGAAAATGAAATACTAGGGGTATAGGTTTAAGACGACAGGGGAAATATTTTAAAGGAGATAGGCGAGGAAAGCTTTTTTTAACAGAGGTAGTAGGTGCCTACAATGTGCTGCCAGGGAGGTGGCAGAAGCAGAGATAATAGCAATGTTTGAGAGGCATTTAAACAGACATGAACAGGCAGGGAAAAGAGGGACACAGATCATGTGCAGGCAGATGGGATTTGTTTAGAGTAGGATCCTGGTTGGCACAGATATGGGAGGGAGGGGGTGCCAAAAGGCCTATTCCTGTGATGTATAGTTCTATGTTCTAAGTTCTTGCATCCGTCTGGAATTTTCTTGCAAATTGCTCCTCCATATCTTTCTCTGATGCCTGATAGAATGAGGCCAGTAGTGTACTGGCAACTTAAATGTTTCTTAACTCTAAGCAAACAGATCGTGTTCTGAGAATGGTCACTGGACCCAAAATGTTAACTTTGCTTTCCGTCCACAGATACTGCCAGACCCGAGCTTTTCCAACAATTCGTGTTTTTATCTCTGATTTCCAGCATCCACAGTTGTTTGGGTTTTTTTTTGAGATTGTGTCCTTAAGCCCCTTCAAGACATCCTCTCTTTCCAGCACATGGCTTCATGTTCAGATGTCGATATTTGCACCAATCTTCTTTGCCATGCTTCATACATTTATATACATGCATTGTAAACTTCATGTCAACCTTAATGCATTTCCTCTTAGTGCAAACCTATCTAATACCTAATTATTGAGACTCTTGTGCTATCTGCCTCTCTCAATCCTTCTTACACCTAGTCTTTGTCCTATCTAATGCTATATCTTGTTGTGCAGCACCCTCTTAAATGCAAAACTCTGCTTTCAGAAAATATTAATAATTATACTTTGGACTATGGTGAGACAGACACAAACAAAAGTGAGTGAATATTTGGACTGGTCTCCATTCCAACAAAGAACGACCAGATAAAGAAGCAATTTTTTTCAATGTTTCAAGTTTGTGAAATATGATTAAAATTAGTAACAAAACATGATACCTTTTCAAATTTTCTGGATGTTTGGGAAAGTCTGGCAATGTCCTCGAGATCCAAAAATAAAATTATGTACATAAGCAGGCCATTAGGAATGCGATCGAGATAATCAAAGTGATGTTGACACAAATTGCAAATATACTTGAGCACTTCATTGCCAAAAATTACATCAATATGAACTAAAAAAAAGAAGAAAGAAACAGATGTTTAGAAAATGTCATTGCTATAATTATCTTTAACTTTCATTCTCTTTAGAAAAATTATTTTGTTAAAGGTTGCAATATTGGTAACAGGGAACGTCCTAACAAGCACTCCGAGATAGATGAATTTTTGTGAAGCAAAGATATGAAGGGATATGGGCCAATGGCAGGCATATGGAGTTAGGCCATAGATCACCATGATCTCATTGAATGGTGGAACAGGCTTGAGGGGCTGAAAGGTCTTTCACTGTTCCTATAGAATCATAGAATCCCTACAGTGTGGAAACAGGTCATTCAGCCCATCAAGTCCATACCGACCCTTTGAAGATCATTCCACCAGATCCACCCCCCTGTACTTTATCCCTATAACCGTGCATTTCCAATAATCCACCTAACCTGCACATCCTTGGACTGTGGGAGGAAACCCACGCAGAGACGTAGAGAATGAGCAAACTCCATACAGAGAGTTGCCTGAGGATGGAATCAAACCCAGGTCCCTGGAACTGTGAAGCAGCAGTGCTAACCACTGAACCACCATGCTGCCCACTGTTCCTATGTTTCAATGTAAGCAAAAACCTACTAGGTCTTGAGGCTATTTCTCTCAATCTGTTTTAAAATACATCATAGCTACTGAAGTATTTGCAAGTTAATCATTAAATCCTGCAGACACACAGAAAACTCCAAATGCCAACCGGTTCAAAATTTAAAAATCCAAACTCAGAAATAAATGGTATGAGATATATATAAATCACACATTTTACGTAATATTAGAAGTAACATTCCTTTATTCTCCACAGGGAATATTGCTCAGAAGAACAGATCAATTTTCACTATGTCCTATAGTAATTTTCTTGGTGCCATTCTGAGGTCATTTTTGTGATATGAAAAAAAGAAATTGATTTAAAGAGCAGGTTTGATTTAGATACACTTTTTTTTTGGGAAATTTCGGCTAGCTCTACGGAACTTAAAACATACAGAATCTTGTGCCAATTGGCTTTCACTTACCCTGGTTATCCATTTGGTATTACAGTACCTCAATATATATTCTGCAAATTTGGATCAGATTTACAAGTCTGAGTCCATAGCATTAGTGGATTGAAAAGATTAATAATAATTAATGTTTAACTGCAACCTTTTCAAAGCTTGTAATATTGTTTGCTTTCATTCTGATGATTATTTGCTAAATCCAAACTCTACTGAGCACAAGGTATGTGCTTCACAGCTGATTGAAGCCACATTGCTTGAAAATTGAATCTTTATAAAAATTAATCAATAACCTCCACCAGTTGCAGCCAATGTCTAATTATGAACCATAAAAATGTTAGGGGGAAAAAAAATCTAATTGGTCCATTAATTGGTGCATGGTTATTAAACCTCAATTTGATTGCGTATGCACATAACAGAGTGAACTTATCTGATTTGACAAATATTTCAGGGTAATTTTTGAAAATTTACCTATCTATCTATCTATCTATCTGTGAGATAATAGGCAGATACTGATGTTATTCAACCAATCTACACTTAAAAAACACAGAACATAATGTCTAACCTTAGATGTGCTTTTTGATTGGACAGTGCAATCTTGCAGGGGCCTGTACTCTGCAATAAAAAGGAAAACACCCAAAGATTGCATCTTTTTTGAATAGGCAAGAGTATGGGGAACATGCATTTGCCATGGCAATACCTCAAGCAATCAAAGCTAACTTGCAGACCAATTAGTACCCCTTTTTCTCAAGCAATATAAAATTTTTGTTCTGTTTAAAATCTGATATGCATGTGGCTGTCTTGACGATTGCAAGAAAAGATTTGACAGGTCTTTTTTTTTCCAGCAATATTTTGAAAGATTGTGGTCCAAAATGATGATGGAGTAGTGGCACTCTGTCCGAGCTCCTGGACCAGGGCTAGTCTGCTTCCGTGTGCTTCCTTTTTACTTTTGCTTTTTGCTCTTTTCTTTTACAGTTGTTTTTTTATTTCTCTTTGCAGGCAGGGTTGAAGCAGGCCCGACCTCCTGAGCATGTGCAGCCGCAAAAGCAGGAGGTGGCTCCTTTGGGAGAGTGAATCCAGCGCGGAGGAGAGAGAGTCCTCGGACACATTGCGATGGCAGCGAGAGTAGGCCCAGCAGCGAGAAATGGCACTGGAGCATGGCGGCTTCAACATTGGTGGCCCCAGCGCAGGACTTGAGGCAGTGGCAGTGGGATGGGTTTTCAAGATGGTGGCGACAGCAGGGCAGCTTCTGCAGTCAGTGGAGAAGGCGGCATTGGCTGCAGTAGGCCCAAATCAGTACTCCTGGCTGTTGACAGGAACGGCAGTCACATCGGCGGTGACCTGGTTGGCCTGGTGTGGTGCTGAAGCAGTGGCAGCGGTCCCAGGCTGGGGACTCCTGGAATGGACTGTGATGTGGGGTCATTGATAGGCATGGAGTCCTTGTCGAGAAAATTGCTATGGGAGTAAGAACTCTGTAGTTATATTTTAATCATATCTTAATATTTTCTGTAATTCAAAATGGCGCCAGAGCTTGTTGACGTATTTACACTTTTCACTGAATCATTTGTTAAATACAAGTGACAATAAATCATTAAATTCAATCCAGATTTTCAAATGTTTCTAACGGCCAACATAGCAAGTTCTTATCCATAGCACTGTATCTCCATAGGCTGATTTGTTGAGATACAAAAAAAGCATGCAACCAGTCTCCTGTGAATGAGACTGGTTGATCACTGAATAACATTAGTTGGATATTAATGCAAATATCTTCTGAAGGTGCTCCAGTAACATTCAAAATAGAACTCTGACATCTGACAGAATGTGGGCTCGCACAATTTATACTAGTATGGCTACAATCTTTGCAACTGGTAGAGAATGAATGCAATGCACCCAGATCCTATTTGGAAGGGAGAATTAGGAAGACATTTATCAATATCAGCAGAACAACCAAGGAAGGTATGTACACCATGGCTGACAATATCATCTGTCATATGGTGGAGTCACTTATCCACAAATGAGAGGTCAGCTAGTTTAAATGCAACAGTGGTGCCCTGATTATGCATATTATCAGGTGCATAATATGTTAAACTGAAATGTGATAGAGTTCCTAATTCCAGAGGCCTTAGAACTATGTTTCTACTGGGTCTCAAAGCAAAAAAAAACTTTAGGAGTGCAGTGTCCAAACTCAGTGATCAGGCACTAGCAGCCCTGAGACACAAGGTCCTGCAGAAAGCAAACTACTTGAAATAAAAGGTCCCACCGAAGTTACTTGGATGGAGGTAATGAATATGGACAGAGACCTTGGAGTCCAGGTTCATAGTTCCCTGAAAGTGGAGTCACAGGTAGACAGGATAGTGAAGAAGGCATTTGGTATGCTTGCCTTTATTGGTCAGTGCATTGAGTATAGGAGTTGGGAGGTCATGTTGCAGCTGTATAGGACATTGGTTAGACCACTTTTGGAATACTGCGTTCAGTTCTGGTCTCCTTGCTATTAGGAGGAGGTTGTGAAACTTGAAAGGGTTCAGAAAAGGTTTACAATGATGTTGGCAGGGTTGGAGGGTTTGAGCTGAAGGGAGAGGCTGAATAGGCCGGGGCTATTTTCCGTGGCAGGTCGGAAGCTGAGGGGTGACCATATAGAGGTTTGTAAAATCATGAGGGGCATGGATAGGATGAATAGACAAGGGCTTTTCCCCGGGGTGTGGGGAGTCAAAAACTAGAAGGCATAGGATTAAGGCGAGAGGGAAAAGATTTAAAAGGGACCTAAGGGGCAATTTCTTCACGTCGGTGGTGATGCATGTATGGAATGAGCTGTCAGAGGAAATGATAGATGGAGGCTGGTACAATTACAATATTTAAAAGGCATCTGGGTGGGTACATGAATAGGAAGGGTTTAGAGGAATATGGGCCAAATGCTGGGCAAATGTGACTAGATTAATTTACGATATCTGGTTGGTATGACTTCCCAACTCCTATACTGAATGCATTGACCAATGAAGGCAAGCATACCAAATGTCTTCTTCACTATCAAATTGGCAAGGGTAGCCTGGAGGCAGAGTTCATGAATGTATTAGAGATTGTTTCTTGGAGCAGTATGTTGTGAAACCAACCAGGGAGCAGGCTACCCTGGATTTGGTATTGTGCAATGAGGGGAAATTAATTGATGACATCATAGTTAAAGATCCTCTCGGGAGTAGTGACCACAATGTGATAGAATTCAGAATTCAGTTCGGGATGAGAAAGTGCAGTCCCACAGTAGTGTTCTGGAATTAAACAAAGGAAATTACATAGGCATGAGGACAGATTTGGCCGGAGTAGATTGGGCAGGAAGGCTAAAATATAAGACAGCAGATGAGCAGTGGCAGTTGTTTAAGGAGCTACTCAATTCCTCAAAACTAAAATATATCCCAGTGAGGAAGAAACATGATAAGTGGGTTAAAAAACATCCACGGCTAAACAAGGAGGTCAAGGACAATATAAAGTCAAAAACTAAGGTAAACTATGTTGCAAAGGCCAGTGGCAGGCAGGAGGATGGGGAAACTATCAAACATAAACAAAGGGATACTAAAAAACTAATAAAAAGCACTAAGTTAAATTACAAAAGAAAGCTAGCACAAAATATCAAAAGGATCGAAAAAGCTTCTGTAGGTGTATAAAAGGCAAGAGAATCGCTAAGGTGAATGTTGGTCCCTTGGAAGATGAAACTGGAGAGTTAATAGTGGGGAACACTGAAATGGCAGCGATATTAAATCAATACTTTGCCTCAGTTTTCATGGTAGAGGACAATTATACCATTCCTATAGGAGCGGGCACGTCAGAGGCAACAGAAAGGATAGAACTTAGAACAATCGACATTGATAGGGTAAAGGTACTCAGCAAACTATTAGGATTGAGGGCAGGCAAGTGTCTCGGCCTGACAGCCTACATCCTAGGGTATTAAAGGACATGGCGGCAGAGATAATGGATCCATTGGTTACAAAATTCCAAAATTTCTTGGA